CGCTGGCTGTCAGCAGGTAGGCCCTGCATCCTGTGGCTGTCGGTGTCGCCATGTGTCGCCTTGGAAGATACCGCTAAACACGAATAGGATTCGGCAAATCTGAGTTTGACAGCTCTTGCGGGTTTACCTTGTCGGGTTGCTCCAGGTGGAACCAGCCAAAATGTGCTCTGTGCTCCCCTTCTCCGTGACATGATGTGGGAAGTGACCAGGACGCACAGCCAACATTGTCGCCACCGTCGACACAGCTGGCAGCTTGTTCAAACTTCTGGAGTTGTCCAAGGCTTACAGTGGTACGAAGGTAAGTCTAGCATTTCCTACTGCCAGGCGCATAGTTGTGGATCTCAGCATAGAGTGATAGAGCAGAAGAGCGCTCGTCTCAAAGACAACGAAGTATTGAGTCACCGACGGTCGGACACAACAGTTTTTCGGTTCCAGTTGGATGCTGGTGATGGTGATGATGCTGATGCTGAGATGCTGATGCTGGTAGTAGTTGCGGTGGCAGTAGGGCTGAGTGGGGGCGACGAAGGTAATGTTGTTTGTAATGACAAGGCGCCAGGGGTCCTAAAGAGTCTGACCTCAGGAGATCGTGAGTCTGAATCGCCAGCTGCAAGAAGCCTGTGCTGGAGGTACCGTTGGCTTCTGGGAGGTGACACGCGGCGGAGGCGTGAAGATTCTGGCGGAGATGCTGGGCGCCACAGATTTACGCAATTAACATTTACAGATGTTCGACAAAGGCAAACTCTGCAACAAGGCCTGGAGAGTCGGAGTTGGGGGCGCTGTCCTTCAGCGAGGCGAGTTCTCAATCTCGCCCTCGTACTCCATGCTTCGAGCTCACATGCACGTTGAACAGGGCGGAGACAAGTTGCTGGTCGGTGGGCAGGCGCGATGTCATTGTCGCTGTTCTGGTTTGTAGCTCCTACGGCGCGGGTTCATGATGGTTCGTGTATTACTGCTTTTTGGCCGTCGGCGTGCGGCGTGCGGCGCCGTGCCTGCCTTCCATGATGTAATCGACCCTCAGCCTTAGTCCTGTTCCACGGCTCAAGGTATCGAGCTTGAACATGTGCTGTTGCACGCCTTGGAACATCAAAGCGCTTCTCAAGACGACCACACGCAGAATACGGCAGGAGCGGGTCGTAAAGGTTTTCGATGTGGAGCAGTCCCAAGCTCAGACAGCGTGACAACGCGTGGTTGCAGTATTGGAGTGTTGTGTCGTAGTGTCACGAGACAGCCGAGCTTCCGCCTCCAGCACTGACTCTGCTGCCGAGGCTGAAGTCGAGCAAAGGCCGTGACATGAAGGTGCCACGATAAGATCAGACATTCTTCGCCGTCTGCACAGAAGTTGAACCTGCGTGGTAGTGCGAGCGCCTATGGAGTGTGGTCCGGCAGCCGCCTGAGCAGGAAGAGCTCTGCCTTGGTTCAAAGGATGCCATGGTAGGCGCAACTGTGGTCCAGAGATGCTGTGCTGATGCCGCTGTAGCCGCTAGCGCAGAGTTGTATGTATCGAAGGATGCCCATCGATAGCCCAGCACAAACCTCTTCGCTGGCCGAAGGAGACAAGCCTTGCCGCCACAGCTTGAAGATCATGAGTCTCTCGGCGTCGAAGTCATCGAGACTGCTGTTCCAATCAACCTTCCGATGGATCAATGAGTGGTGTATTCGATAAATACTGCCACGGGCCTGCAGGATCCCGCTTGCCTCTGCTTGTGAGAGAAGCCAAATGCTGATACCGATCACATGGGATAAGAATTGAGCAGCCAGCGGCTACGCGCAACATCCCGCATGGTGTGTAGTACCTCCGGTATCCACATTCTCCTGCTCGCCCATTCATCTCAACATGAGAGATGGGCTTTTGCGATAGATTCGAGTGTGTCATGCCTTGGTTCCAATGCGAGGTCTTCGGTCAGTGCCAGAGCATCAACACCTTTTCTTGTCCGGTGGAATGGACAGGAGCCAGCCACCCCAGGGCCGTGCTGAACAAAAACAGGGCTTGCAAAAGCTTTGGAAAGTCCTTGAAGGAGTGTCCTTCTGTGGGACCTTCGTACTCCCAAAGCGCCATCGGCGTGGATATCGGGGGTGGAGCTGAGCGACTTGGCACAAAGAGGCCTCTCCGGGTGTCGGACACTTTGAATCCTCATGCTTCGGTTTTCTTTAGGACTCACGGCCGGTTGCTCAGGTGGCGACTCTTTAGACATCTCCCGCGATGGCAACACCGTTCTGGCAGGAGCGTTTGCTGCCTTTGGCTGACTTCAATCATAAGACTCCTGGAAGAGTCTCCCTCAGGAAGCCACCGCAGCTTGAACCCGCTTCAGCTCTTCGACCTTCGTCTGCTGAAGCAGGCAGACGAGTCAGAGAAAAAGGCCGGAACGGCTACCGTTGTGTTGCGATGTCCTTTGCACATTGTGAGCGGCAGCACAGTTTCCGGAAGCCTTTTAGACCCCGTCACTGCAGACTGTGGCTCTGGATGTCGTGCCTTCCATCACTTTCTTGATCTTTTTGTCATCGATGCCGAGCAATCATGTCAGGAAGGACCTCTGTGACATATCCCGTTTGTCCATGTGCAAGTTTTTGAACATGGTAGTCATATCGCATGCGCGCATGCGCTGCAGGCTGGGCTCACCATGACTGCAGTGCAAACATACCAGTGGTCCGCGCCACAGCTAAGAAACGAGGGTCACGGTCCGGTGAGGCGCGCAGGGTAGCTTCCAGAGCTCAATACCAGCAGACCGTCGTCAGTGCACATTAGCATAGGCCTTCCGGTTGAATCTGTTGAATCACCTCGGGCGCGCCGAAGGTCCGGAGAGGCCTCGGAGAAGGCCTGCTGAGACTAGTTCTTGGGTGCCAGTTCTTGGAGTGCTCGGATGAGGGATTCAACTCCGGGCCTTTTGCTAAAAGGCGGAACTGATTGAGCTGCCCTATCACTAAGGCTGCCCAGCCTTCGTGCATGGTCTTCCAAGCTGGGTCCGAAGCTCAACGATTCGGACCGAGCATCGGAGTTGTTCATGGCTTTCGGCACAAAAGCACTTGAACACATTCGCGGGCAGAAGAGATGCGGTAGACAAGTTGATACTGAAGTCTTGCCAAGGTGGGACAGCTTTGACAACACGACAATTGCAGCTGCCGGTGAGAAGGAGAATCAGGCCGTGCCCCCTAGTGACTTGATGGAGCATGCGCAGGACACGTTGACTGGAGAGTGTTTCCTATCGGTGGTGGTGCCGGTAAGCAGAGCTGTGATGCAACCTGGCGACATGTGCATCTAACAGCACAGCCGCTCGCGCGACATCGGGTGGGCTGGTCGGAGCATGTCAGGCGCGGATCTTCGAACGGCCAAAGAACGGGGGTCCGTTGCGGTCACTTGGGCAGCAGCCAGGGCGACGTCTTTGGATGAGCAGAGCTGCTGTTGCTCAGGATTCTCAGCTCGCTGGAAGGCTACAGCCGTGCCTTCTATTCTGCCTCGGTCAGTTCAGACGGAAGGCCTGTGTGGATAGGATCAGAGCGAATCGAGATTAGAGTGAATTGAGGTCGAAGCTGAGCTTCAGAATAAGCCTTGACGTGAGGGGCATAGGTATGGGCATGGTGGTACGGGTTCGAGTGGTGCGGAGGACTGCCGCATTCGGCAGCTCCGACGGCTCTGTTCGGCACCGAGGAACGCACCAGCAAGGAAATATGGTCGTCAGGTAGGACATGTATGCATCACAGTTCTACATGGGATTTTGATGCTGTTTCTGCAGCGCTTGGCACCCAGAACAAAGGGTCTCCATTCTCCATCGTTCACCCTGCTATGGTACTTTCATGCCACTTTGGTTCCAACTTCCCTACTCAATTTTCAATGGTGTGGCATTCTCCCAAAGCGTGAACCGTCATTCGAAGATGCCTTCTCCCAACGAGCACGTTTGAATCAGATATTCAAGCCGAATGCTAGATCTCAAGGAGCTCAAAGATAATAGCCACAATCAATGAATGTCCTGCATGTTTGAAATCCTGGCAGCATAACACCGCATCTTCGATGTAATCTGTCGACCAAAAGCATACTTCCTGACCCGAAAGTATTCCAGTCGAGAAATGATGGCACAAAGCAAAGTAAAGAGAGCTCAGCATGCCTCGCACACCTTGAGGTGCTATGTTGGTTAGTAAGGTTCACACTGCTGCAGAACTGTACTAAGATCGTCATCTCGAATGTCCGCATCATGTGAGAAGAGGAGTCCTGTCCTGAGGTGTGCAGTCTTTGCAGTGTTAGGAAGAACATCTACTGCAAGACTCAGAAGTACTTCGTGATGTTTGTGCAGAAGCATGGGGCTGGAATGTGGAGACTGCGCACCCGCCTGTGGCATGCTGCTTTCGAAATAGGCGCGAGACTGTTTAACAGGAGTGCGCCAAGATTGTACGGATTGTTTAAGCTGACATGTGTCACTTGCAAGCAGCTGTGCTACGAACGTCTGGACGAACCCGAGGTGTCAAGGGTACAACCGAGTACAACCCATTGAAGCATCAGCGCACGGTTTTCTTTGTGACTCAACAGGGTTGTCCTGCTCGACAGTGAGCTGCGGAAACGCTTGAACATGCCTGGACTTCATCTTCGTGCCCAGCAGCGGCAGCGAAGTCAGCTCTCCACAAGCTGAGAGCCATCCAGAGAAGTATCTACGTCAGTAGAGACCAGGACATACCAGAGGACAACAGCTTCGAGCAGAGCTCACATCATCCTTGCTGCTTCTGACATCATCCCTGCGCAGCACTGCCGTGCTGCACCGAAAGTCGAAGGCAAGAATTTCTGCATGCTGAGATTTGCTGCGTTCGCAGAAAAGAGCTATGCTTGATCTCAGTCGCTTGTCCTTCATTCGCGATAGAAGGGTGCTCATGGTTTGGCTGTAGTCCCGTGAGTCGTATCATGGACTGGGATTGAGGGATGGAAGGGCTTTGTCGATTGCTCAAGGCTTGGAATGTGACTTTTGGCAGGTCTCACAGGTGTCTTGTGCCGGTTGCCAGACGGGCCTGAAATCTCGCAGGAGCGCAGAGAGAAGCACAAGGACAAGAAGGACAAAGACAAGAAGGAAAAGGTGAGATGCAACCGCCGCAATCCGATCACAACGCTGCAAACCTCTTTCGAATCATGGTTGGAGCTCAAGCTCTTAAGAGACTTCCGTCGTTTGGACCAGCTCCATGTCTCGCCATGGGGTGAAATTCTGCATCTTGTTTGCACTTGATTGCAGGAGGAGCAAGAAGCACCATCTGTTGTCGGGACCTCGGTCTCTATCCTTGTTTGCCACGGATATTTGACTATCTTGGCTCGTGGTGCAAAGGGACGCAAAGCTCCCGAGCCTGAAGAGGCTTGATCCCAGATCGGCGAAAGAATCGGAAGTAGCTGGAAGCTAGCTGGTAGCTGAAACAGCTGAACTGTGCAGGTGACAGCAAAGAAGGACATAATGCCGCAGCCTGGCCAAGACCCGACCTCAGCGGGAGAACGTGGGAGCTCGGAGAAGCCGTGAGCCCCAAGGCCCTGGCTGACTTCGGCTTTCCCGCCACCGTGGACGGTTCCATGACATCACAGACAGCACAGCACTTCTACTTTGCGGCTCCACGAATGCCTGTTCGACCGGCGCTGTCGAAGGTTTCTTCCTCTTCATGCGAGAACGAGAGCGCATTCGACTGAGACGCGACTCTTGGACGATGGTTAAGCGTGCAGATTTGTTTCGAACAGAAGCCTGACCGCTAGAGGCAGGTTCGGCAAGTTCAATTCAAATGATTCAACCCGCAGGCTGACTGTGTGCTGCGAGAAGACAGCCGGAATCCGTTTGTTGCAGCTTTCAACAAGAAGCATCAACAACACGTGCTGAAATACTGTAGAGGGCCATGACTCGATCTTTGTTCACATGATTTCGAATTTTGCTTGACCAGGGACAGTCGCGCGGGGGGGGCGGGGGGGGGGGGGGNNGGGGGGGGGGGGGGGGGGCTGCCAGGTTTGCGCTGCGCAGGATTCAAAGCATATCAAATTGGACTTTTCGACGGTGCCAGGTGCTCATCCACGTGCTTCGCCGGTCGGCTTCCACACAGCACGGGAACAGCGAAAGGCAAGTGCAGTCAAGCACAAGCCATAAAGCGTGACAGTGCACGCAAATGGTGAATGTAGGCATTGCTATGCAGGTGAGGGCTTGTAACACACATAGGTTGCCAACCGGACTGAGCTGCAAGCGGCCAGGAATTGCAAAGATAATGGTGGGTTAAATGAAGTCTCTTCTTGATCTGCGCCGAGTCTGGCATTCTAGAAGGTTCAAGATTATGGAGCAACACAGCCTCAGGCCTAATCGTTCGTTTGAAGGTACGTTTGTCAATTTGATGTTCTCTTCTCGGCAAGGCTCACTCAGGTTGCGGCGGGCACATGCAACGTCTATAAGATCTTGGGAGCAACGCGATGTCGCAAAAACTGTCAACCGCTTGAACGAACTTGAAACCAACTGGTGGTTCGCATTGTCATGCATGCGCAAGATTAACCCCCCACCCCACTCCCCTCCCCTCCGAAGTTTCTACCACTACGCTGTTGAACCCCAGGTCTCCAACGTCACGATGAACACATGGCAATTGGAGATGATGTGCATTTTCGAAATGCGGGGTTGGCAGTTTTGCTATAGTCGAGCTTGATTTGATCGCACATGTAAGGAGTCTTCGCAGCCATATCCCTGGACGGACGACAAGGTGCTGAGACATCTTCGCGTCAGGCTTCGACCTGTGGTTCCGTCTCAGTTCCAGTCATTTTGCTTCTTGATGCAAAAACAAAGCGCATAAGACACATGGAAGCGTGGAAGCCCTCACTGCTGACAGGAATGTCAAGAAGGAGCCTCGGATTCGTTAAAGGGACGGCCATAGGCTGTGCTGGTTCGATTTCTCTCACAGGGTGATGCTTTGGTCTGGAACTTGCCGAAATCTTCGCCACAGCAGCTCAGGAACACGACCGCACCAGCATGCTCATTCGTCGGCTTCTGCTGCCCTTGGATGACAGCCACTCATCTGATGCTAAACGCCGGAAGTACTCTAAACACATCTCCGAACTTGCTGGTTCTTGTGCTGCGCCTTTGATCGAGGGTTTGAGTGAATAAGCGGTGCACTTCTTATTGGGTGTTGCCATCTGGCTAGATTGTGGTAAACCCTGTGCCCCAGAAGCAGGAACGATGTCCTCGGGATTCGATCACCGTCGACAGACAGCGTCCTGCCGTAGCTGTTGGAATAAGTAGCCACGCTCGTTTTCAGATGCGGATCGCTCAACCCCAGAATGGCGCTCGAGCACTTCGCGGCAGCAGAAGCGATCAGTGGTCCGCGAGTACGTGCTCAGTCTCGGTTTATGGAGGCCTCCGTGGAACATTGCATGATCTGCTGTCCGTTTTGCAAACACACGACAGCCATGCTTCGCCTGCCAGGCGTTTTGGCTCTGTGAATTTCATCAATCGTGCTGGCCTGGTGGCTGGAGATGCGACACCGGAAGAGCTTTGCGCGAAGGCGTTTGTTTTCAAGTACAAGTTCCTGATGGCAGACATTGTGCTGCGCCTTGGACAGGCTGTATCAGTGGCACTGGACCTTTGGAAGAATGGAATCCACAGCTGCACCTCGCTGCGGATGGAGTTGAACGCAAGTACAGTACTTGCGAACTTACAGTACCCAGCACAAGAACTCGCCAAGGCAGTGATGCTTACGGACCTGCTAGCCGTGCCCATGCTGCAGAGCTCTATGCGTGGCTGGGGGAAGAGGCTTCAAGATGTGTGCAGGAAGCTGGACATCTCGTGCATTTGACGAAAGTTGTGTCCGAGGCGATTCCGTCGTCCAACGTAGTTTTCCAAAAGGCTTAATTACTTAGATCGCCAAAGCAGAGCCGAGCTATGCAGAACAGTCAACTGAGCTGAGCTGTTCTACGTAAGTCGAGAGGGGCAAGCCGTGAGCATGCGCAGCGCTGCCTGTACTGGAAGGCAAGCAAGCATCTCTCCGTGGCTTTAAAGCTTCATCCCCGCCACATGCAGCAGACTCTCGACAAAGTTGGTGCGACGTCTTGAGGTGAGGCCCGGATGTTTCTGCGCCCCGGAAAGCCGTGAGCAGGTCTAATCTAGGATCCAGGTGGTGACAGCCGAAAAACATGGCATAGTCTATGCAGAGCCTTCTGCTGTTACGTTTACGTGAGCGGAGCTGCTGAACTCAGGATGACGAAGCTGCCTGCTTGAATGGCTTTGCGGTGTGCCGTTCTGATTCGTAGATTGTTGAGAAGCCTCTGCTACAAAGCTTTCCAAGCTTTCCAAGCTCGGACAGCGCTCGAGTGACTTCAGGTCTTTGGTGACCGACGCGGGGCTTGTCATCGTCCCTTGGCGGCCTTGGAGTCCACTGCCCACTCACGGGGATCGCCTGCGCCAAGGTCAGCAGTGGCTTCTTGCAGGTGCTCAACGAAAACGGCAAAGCCTTTCGATCCTCTGCAAGTCATTGGACTAAGTAGTGGCATCTGCGATGCTGACGTCGATTTGCTCAGGAAGTCTTTTTGAAAAGGCTGATGAGCTGGCAGACACTGTTGTGGAGCAAGGCGCGATCAGCTCAGCAGCTGTCTCACTGTGCGAGTGTTCGCCTAACGGTCTGGAACGCCCTAGGAGCGCTTCGTGAGCCTTAAACTTCGGCATTCGGGTTCCAGTTGTGGCGTATGTGTGCTTTTCTTGCTTCCTGGTCGGGCTCAGGGCTCACAGCAGTCTGCCAGGGCCCGCGCGATTCCAACAGCTGGTGCAGCTTCTTGGATCCGCTGATGGCCACGGGGACCGGGACTTAGCTGTTGTTTACGTTGAAGACTACTTCTCAGTTTTTTCCTCTTACTTCCCAGCTCAACTCTCGCTGCTCTCAGGTCGGTAAAGGTGTCTATGCAGCAGAGATCGTTCGCGACCTTCTGCAACTTGTCTTTGAAGGGTGTTGGAGCAAGATCAGCCTGTTCGACCTGGGCCCAGGCTGGCAGGCATGCCACTGCACAGTTTCGTAGTGACAAGTCATGACAAGTCTGTCGTCGCGAGAGCCACGCAGATCCCGGGAACTGCAATTGAGTTCACTGCGCAAGTCCGGCAGCGGTTCTGCGAGTTTTTTTTCTCCTTAATTTTTCCAATAAGCCAAAGCTGATTGCAGCTCCAGGATCACAGTGCGTGACCTGCTCTGGGGTTTCCTCTCGCTTCCTTTGGCTTCGTCCGCAGACGACCACGACGGAGCTGGCCGTGTGACCCCTTCGCCTTGCGCTTTTGGGTCGGTTAGTTCTGCTGAAGTACGCGGCGCAAACTGCGGATTGCTTTCTGCGTAGGACAGGCGACCACCGCCAACGAGGCTCATGCACTCTAGACTCTAGCAGACTCAAAACTATCAACACCATGACCAGTCGGGCCTCAGCAGCCTCCGCCAAGACCTCGTTGAAATCCAGCAGCTCCATGCCAAAATGATGCATTCAAGGGTTTTCCATGAACTTAGAGATGGAAACATTGGTGTGCCGCCGGTACTTTGAACCCCGACCGGGAGTTCGCAGGTCAACTGGGAGGTAGCCCGAGGACTCCCAGTGCAAGAGCTGGCTATCAATACGGTCGGGTGTTTTCATTACGAGGTCGCCGCCCGTGGCCTTTCGTGGTATCGACCTCCGTGCTTGTCGGTTTAGCTTAACTGGCTTACATCGATGTTCCGGCATGTTCCGGCTAGTAGTTCCAGCGCAAATTTTGTCTCTGCTGGTCCGTTACAAGCTCGTTGGTGGACATCGCATGGGCAACAGCAGAGCATGCCCCGAAACAAGAGTTAAAGCATCACCCGTGTGACAGGACGCTTTCCTTTTGTTGGCTATTCAACGTTCGCTTCGCCCTTCGCCTGTTAGCCGGAGTCTCGCAGGGTGTTCGCTGGGTCTCGGCGACGCTTTGCGGTGCCGAGGGTGGCTAGTTACTAGTTCCTTCGCGCCTCTCCTGTGAAGCCTTGCCAGTGAGAGAGCGCATCGAGCTGAGCTCGTGACCGTTCGCAACCAACGGGGACGGGAGGAAGTGGACGACAAGATTTGTCCGTGCATTCCGGCGCCTTCTTTTCGGTGGAGTTTGACTTGTCGAGATGTGCGCTTGGGACCACATGAACGACAGCTTGTTGAAGTTGCAGACCTTTACGTAGCGGCATACGCAATTTTCTGAGGTCAACACCTATCTTCAGTGGTGGTGGTTGTCTGGATGTCGCTTCTTGGCAGTCTTCACCTTGAAGTTCGAAGTGTCAGAGGGCAGGCCGGAGCCTCCGAGGACCACTGGGTGCCTTTGGATCGGCCGACTCGATGCTGCCTTGACCGCTTGGCTCGGCGGCCTCGAAAGACAGAGGTGGGACCGAAGATTCCAGAAGACCTCGCACCACCTTGTGCCTAGCGGCCTAGCGCTAGTATGCGCTAGTATGCGCTAGTGCTTCTCGCTGCATGTTTCAGGTGCCGGACGAAAAGCTCCTCGAGGTCTCACGTCGTTTTATTATGTCGTTGCGCTGCTTTCATCAAGCATCATCAAGCATCATCCAGCACCTTGCAAGGCCTTGTGCAGCCCTAAGGAAAGCTGAGTGTAAGCAGCCGAAGCCGCCATGTCCCTGGCAGGAGCTGCGTACGATCTATGGCCGCCGGCATCAGCTGTGGCCCGCAAGTGGCTTGACTTTATCTGAGGTAAAGGCCGCCGCCAGGCCGCATGGTCGACACAGCCTGTATTCGAGCAGGCATCGAAGACATGCCCAGCGTTGACTTGCAACTGGTGGACCTGCGCGCCCAGCTGGCCGAGTTCGAACGTTATCAGAGGCACCTATCGGCAGCATGATCGGGACAGGATGGTTGACAACTGAAGCCGCACACTTCGATGAAGATTTCAGCCATCAGCTGGATGCAGGGCAAAGGGCGGCCGTCCCTCCCGGATGCCTTTCATGGCCCGCAGCTAGGCCGGAAGTGTGAATCGCGTGATAAAATAAAGCCGGATGTTCGGACCTGGATTACTGCGCCTTGCCCTTTGAGAAACTTTTTTGAGGTTCAAGCGATATTGTTTAGTAAACACACCCACCATGCAGTCTTTGTTTCGATGGGGTCGTCGCTGAGTCTTGCATCGACGCCACATCAGAGTGCGGTTGGGAACTTCGAGGTCGACCTCTGCGAGAGTGGCACACACTGGCGGTGTGTGTGTGTGTGTCATGCAACACTCATCGTTTGATGATTTTCAACTCTTGCGCAGAATCCAGAAAGCGAGTGACATCCCATGGGAAGAGAAAAAACAACTGCACTCACACCGCGACCGTCTGGGCGTAGCCAAGGCCAAGACGGAGAAAACGGAGACAGTCATGTGCAGTCCTGTGACAGGGGTTCGCGGTGTGGGCGTTGGAAATTGGGCTGGAGGGGTTGTCCCGCTTGCAACCAGCCTGTAGCAGTGTTGACTGTCACGACATGCTTTCTTTCATTACGGGTTTGGACGCGGAAGGACTCCAGCTTCAAGCAATTCTGGCTTTTACTTGTTGCTCACTACAAGGACGCTCGCAACTGCATCCGAGCGTCAGGCCTCCGCGATGCCCACTCGACTCGAGTCAGTGGAGCCCAAAAGCCAGCAAGTTGCAGCCAGGGTTCCTGGCCACAAGGCTCGACATCCAGAAAATCCGAGACACCCTTGAAGCAAGCACACTTGCGCCATCCGCTTGCCAAGACAGGCCTTACGATGCCTTACGAACACCAACGTGGGCACGCAAAATCTTATAGCCCATTCTGAGAGGATGATGCTGGACAAGGTGGGCCACAGTCGACAGCCGCACGGTCCTGTGTGGAGCGGCATGCCAAGTCTGCCAAGTCAAGTCGGCCGAGCCGTTTCCATTTTGGAAGTATCTGCTTCAAAACAGGGACGAGGTTTTCGCGGCACCGCATTGGCGGATGTTGTGTGCCAGTTTGCCCGCAACGGCAGACGCCGTGGCAAACTTTCGCTACAAAGCAGGAGAGAACAAGACAATCGTTTGTCGAAAGCTGCAAGAAGATGTAGAAGGTGCCAGGTAGATCCTGCACAGCTTGCATTGACGTGGTGATGGACTGATCCAGGGGCATTGCCGTTGTAGCACCACCTCAGACCATGTCGACATGTCTTTGACAGGCATCGGCAGCTCTGGCCACCGTGAGCGTTGAAACGAGGCCCGGCAAAGCTCATGGGCATGTAACTACTCGTTCGTTCATGTACCATTGCCAACCGTTACTTTCTCTGATAGCGTCGCCAGCGCTGCCATGAGGCGCGATAAGTTTGGTGCAGTGACCTATAGTCTCGGCAGCCTCACGTCACACTTGCAATGCTGCACTGGTGAGCTGATTTCCATACTGTGTAGCACGATGTACCACAAGCATCACTCAGCACCCTGCCCGCATCAGGAACGAGGGTCTATTCTTGAGAGCACGCGTAGCCCCCGATAGCTGTTTTTGGTCATGGAGAGCAGTCTTGTGCCAATTGTGCTCATTCCTCTCAAGGCCTTGGTGCTGCCATGTTCGTTGGCAGGTTGCATGTGCCTTGCTATTGTATCTGTAGGCGGAATGCACAAGGCGTACTTGCGAGCAGCATTGCTGCTGCTCCATACTTACTATGCCCACTGTGCTGCTATAGAAGCACAGCTGCCTTGGTAGCAGTGGTGGTGCTTAAGTCTGAGGGGTGTTCATCAAGGCAGCATCAGCAACTGTGTCCCCATCGAAGGTGTAAGCACTAGGATGCTGTCGCCGTAGATGAGTTGCCCGAGATGGGACGAGTGTGGCTCAGACGTGCTCAGACCTAGCAGACAGGATCACCAACAGCCGAAATGCCTAAGTGAATGGTTCGCGCACATGGCTGGCTATGCGGTTGCAGCTGAGCCACCGCGCCTGCGGCGAGCGCATCTGAAGGGGCATAAGGCGCTTGCACAATCTTGCACATGCACCGGTAACTCCACGTCGAGATCCTGAGCCACTGTGCAAGGATGCGGTCCTTTGCCTGTGTGCAGATGCCTCGCGCCTTGCTTCGGGTGGGGCTGAGGGCACCTGTCGCCTCTGGGACCTGGGAGCAGGGGCTAGGGAGCTTCAGTTTCAGCTAACAAGCCCTGTAGAGGGAGGCGCGGAAGCCCGATGAGCGCAGGATCTGCGCTGCGAGGGATCACGGCGCTCGGTCCGTGCGGCGATCTTGCCTGGCGAGGTGCCAAAAATGTACACTCTGTCGTGTCTGCTTTGCGCAAGCAAGACGAAAGCTCCTCTGCTTCCCACTTTCAAGCACAACAGGCGCGCGCATTCTTCGTAAATCTATCGGCATTCATCACATGTCCCACTTGCTTACATGATCTTACATGCCAGAACATCCTGTTAGGAGCGTTTCCACAGCAAATGCATCCGCAAACCCGGACTGCTTGGAGAAACAAACGTTGTGCCAAGAATCGCAAGTGCATACCCTTTCGTCCGTGACGGCGGCGTGCTTGTGACGGCTCGACAGTCATGCAACCGAACATCGAACGGGCCAAGGGGAAATTGGAAGGTTTGGGGTCTGAGCTACAGATTCTCCTAATTTCGGCACTAAGCTTATTAATCCGACATGCATCGCAGGTTTCTAGTGTGGCGATTTCTTCTGCAAGGGACGCTTGGCAGCACACCACTTTGTTGCTAACATCGAAGCCCTTGGCAGGCTCGCATCTGCAGGGATCGGATTTCTTTGCGATGCAGTTGCAATGCATTGCAATGCTGTGTGTCTGTGCGGCTTGCCATGCACAGTTTGATTGGGGGCAAGGTTAGCAGCCATCACTGCTGCCCTTTTCCAATTCGGATCCGTACCAACCTCCATCTGACAAGGAGCACTTGCTGTTGGCCGCGGTGGGACAAACTGTCTATGGCTTCGACCTGCGAAGTGAGAAGGTGATCCTCCAGGCAAGGATGCCCGTGCCATGATTCGAAGTCACATGCAAGGTTCCCGGGAGGTTCCCACGCTGCAAGCTCGAACTTTGTAGGCTACCAAGGCTGCAAACCCGTTCCTGAAACACATTTACTCTGGATTGCAGGCTGCCGACAAGGTCACGCCACTTGCGAAGGATGACATCAATCAGGTGAGTGATGCGGGAGCTGCAGAAGTAAGCATAAGTAAGCAAGCAAGCATAAGGCAGAGTCCGGAAAAACCTGGAAAACAAAGTCGGACAGCACGACGAAGGAGTTGGGAAAAGCCAGGGTGGGAGCCAGGCAAGTTCAAAGCCAGTTAAAATCAATGGGAGCAGTCAAACAAAGAGTTCGGGCCGGTCCTTTCACCGCCTGCTTTTGGACCCACATTGGAAGAGACTCTGGGATTGGGGTCGAGGGTTAATTGAGCCCGGCGCAGTTCTGAAGGTGCTTTTCTGTGTGTTGGCAAATTCAGTCGTATGGCATACGACTGGATCGGAACGCCTTTGCCGAACCGAATCTTTTTTTTTGCGGGGGGGATCTCTTTCACGGCCGCTCCCTGGCTTTGGGGTTTTCGGGTTGGGAGGTTATTGTTCCTATCGGGTTCTGGGAGATTGGCTTCGGGGTTTTGGGGAACAGGCCAGCAAAGCTCTGATGTTCTGCCTACTGGCACTCGGCCATACCAAAACTAAAAGGCAGCAAGTGGAGCACTCACCAAACCCTTTTTGCTGCATCGGGCGGACGAGCAGTAGTCACGGCGGAGCGCCGACAGTCGGTTCAACAGTCGGAACGGCTGTGGCTGGAGTCCGTTTTGCATCGTTTTGACACTGTCCACGCCGCTGGGTGGACTTGAGCCGAGCAGTTCAGCATGGAACCACTCACACAACAGCAAAACTCCACGTTATCTCTGACAGTCAAGTTCTGCCTATTCGCATTCTACTTGTCGCGGGCCGCGAAGAGCTTCAGGTCTTGCCTGGTTGAAGAAACATTGGCTCAACACGCGAAAAAGAGCAGGGCTCAGGCTATTGTTGCCTGTGAAGCGCCGCCATCGACCGGAGGAGCTCCTGTGCCACCAGAGCTGTCCGCTGGGGCGTCACCATCGGTTTCGGGAGGTATTTGTTCCGGACGTGCTCCTGCAGATCTCGTGGGTAAATTACCCTCCTATGTGAGTTGGTGTTGAACTGCAAGCAGAGGGGACTTGTGGCGACTCCAGCACAGCGCCCATCATGGACACAGTCTCTGCTGCACCAGCTGTCATTGTTGAGGGTTTCGTTCGTCGCCTCAGTGCAGCGTTGCTAGTTCGTGGGTCCCAACACGTCCTAACCTCAGGTCGGGAAGGACTTGCAAACTCAGCGGGACTCGGGCCCACTCGGCTCCGGTTGCTCCAATTAACCTGGACTCGAGCGATCCATGTGTCAAACTTTGGGACCAAATGTTTCTGCTTGCGCCCATGTCCGCGTCAGCTTTCCACCAGGCCCACGGAAGGAAAGGGACTATGACTCGTGCATGGGGGAGGACCAGACCTGGTGGAGGAGCTGGTGCTGGATTTGGGCCGCGAGGACGTCTGAACAAACAGCAAAGACATCTCTCACAAATGTGCAACACTGTGCATTACCCGCCAGTAGGACCAAACCAACCCGGTGAGAGAGAGGATGGCCCATCCAGCGGTCGGCCAATAGGTACCAAAACAAAAGAGACCGACAGCATCCCAGACGAACGCACCTGCAGTGGAGGGAGTGGAGAAGACACCTTATGGGGTCCATCCGAAGATAACCTTCAGACTCAATTCGCTCGGAAAGGGAAAGAAGAATCTTCTGGACGGGTCCAAGTGGGGCTAGGGCCGAGTGCCCTCAGGAGGAACTCCGTTCGGACCCTGAAACCCTGGCGAGGTTGTTGCAGGCTCGTTCCAGGGCGAGAGTAGCCATTTTGGTATCCAGCTATCCACAACAGTCGCAAGGAGGAGGAGATATCCCGAAATGGAATTCGGTGCCATAGTCATTCTGGCAAGACCCCTTTGCAAACAGAAAAGAGCTTAAGCCATGGATGACGTCCCTCAACGGCAGATCTACGTTATCTCTAACAGGGCTAGGGTTGTCGGTTTCCGGGAAGGGTTGCGGTCCCACAAAGCGGTGCCCACCGCAGCAATTCGCTTGAGCCCCCTGCTCGACTCCGGTCGCCACGTGGCCTTATGCCTGATGTTGATCCAGGTGCTTGGTGGGCAGGTGAGCAACTGCGGGCACACGACAAGCTTCCCTGGTTTTCTGACTGCGCCTCTGTTTTCGGACCTCTGCTTTCTGTTTCCAGACTCCACCGGGCCTTTTTCAGACTTCCGCCCTGCGATTGCCGAGTTATGCTGGCCGATTCTTCCCTCACCCCGAGTGATGCAGAGTCTGCTTCCGCCATTTTCTGCGCACTGTGCAGCAGTGTACCCAGCATTCGTGCATCAATCTAATCCAAGGCCGCTCGAAGGCCTCAGTTTGTTTTTCCAGGATTGTGTGCAGCTTCTTGTGCAAGGTCGCTATCGATGCCAGCGGGCACCTTGCGGCGGTGGCTGAGGACCTGACCCTATTTCACTCCATGAAGCCATGCTGATCCGCGACGTCAGGGGAGTGTTACGTGTTGTCGATGCCCCGTAGGATTCGGGAGCCGTGCACCTGCTCGACTTGAACACCTGGTGATTTGGCGAAGATAGGGAGACCAGGGCCAGCAGTTGCCATAGGCCGAGAGCCTAAGGAGAGTCGACAAGATCCTCGGTGGCAAAAATGGCCACGAAAACATTTGCAGTGCCGTGGCCTGGAAGCCAGGCCCACAGAATTTCCTGATGGTAGGTTCTTGTGAGTCCTTCGCCGCTTCCATGCTTTGCAGGCCGCGAGTGGACCTTAGCATCCGGAGGATTGGACGCCGCAGTTGTCGCTTGGCCTGGGCTTATCGATGCAGTGGGACGGGAGCCATGAGACCAGGCATGCAAAGTTCGACACGAGGAGGGCTAGGTGAATTGCAGCTTCAACCACAGCATCCGGCTGTCTGATATTTCTCGTTGGCATTCCAAGTCTTCTCTATTGTTTTTGATGCTGAGGTCATCTGGCAAAGGTCAGGAAGAGGCCTGCAACGGTGATTCCCTGCCCAGCCAGATGTGTTGTTCATTGGCCTGTCTGTTACAATGAGTAGCCACCAACGGCTGATTGGCGGCTTGCTGTTGAGGGTGGCGTATGTTAGCGTGACTGCTATGCAGCAGGCGTTGCGATTGTTGGGCATTGCTATACTTCCCAGACGACACATGCGTCGATCACCAGAATTCGCATGGCTTTGCGGCAGAGGGGCTCACCTATCCGGGCAGGGCGCAAAGTGCAGATGCAACCGGATGCTGGGGAGGACGAGAGTGCACACATGTTCAGTACCAAAGCACTTACAATACTTACAACAAAAGGAAAACGTGCAGGAGTCCGCCACATCAACTGGCGGACCTCAGCTGCTCAACCCACCCTTCGTGCGGCTCGGCACGTGTTCAGTGCAGACTGCAGATTGTGTAAGGAAGATGGCTAATCAAGGCATTCGATCGCTTATGCGCCCGATGGCGAAACGCTGGCGGCAGGCCAAGTGTGGGCGTTAGGGCCAGTCTGGGCAATCCTTGGGCCTTGGATATCGGCATCTGCGAGGCCTCGGTGACGGCACCGTTGTGCTCGTAGGCTCCGACCAGCGCCTCAGAGGCGGTGCTTCGAAACGAGAGTCCTCTGCTGTTGACTTGTCAGTCAGACACCTTGTAGGTCACCTCGCAGCCGTGGCGCAGGCCCTACTACTACTACGACTACTACAACTACTGCTACTGCTACTGCTGCTGCTGCTACTACTACTACTACCACCACCAATAGCTACCACTACTACTCCTACAAATCCCGCGACTACTACAACTACGACAACAACAACGACAGCAACTGCAACAACAACAACAACTACTACTACTACTACTACTACTACTACTACTACTACTACTACTACTACTACTACTACTGCCAACCACCT